ACACACACACACACACACTCACAAACACAGTGTTGTCCTTGTTACTCTGTTCAGTGACATGGTACACTCTTCCGTGCTTTGCATTTTGGGGGACAAAAGGGCCACCTGTCTGATTGGAGAGAATCAAAACCAAGTGGCAGTGGCTGCCCAGATGGCCTTACCCCGCCCCAGAAGCCCCAGAGGTTTTGTGGAAGCTGCTGAGTGGACCGCTGCCGCAAGCCTGAGGCTCACCGGGCGCGGGCTTCCGCAGCAGGTGATAAGAGCCCAGTTTGGGGCCGCAGGTCAGGCAGGCAGCCACCTCTCGCCAACCTGGCAAGACCAGCGGCACCTCAACGAAAGCACTGGAAGGCAAAGTTTACAGGTCTTCTGGTTCATTCTACTCAAACAAATACAGTTTTTTTCAAAACCTACCAGGGCTATTCAACATAGGGTTTTACTTAACTTCACAGAGAGCAAGATAAAGCCATACCTACTTTGGAAAAATATTTACTTTGGTCGAAGTACTTTCAACCCCTGAGTTCTAATTTGAAAAGTAGCATAGAGCAGCTTCTCCTCCTGTCTAATAAGGAGAAGCCAGGACATACCGATTCTCTCCTTGGGGCTTGGCCCAGGCCTACTTGCATCTTATTCTCAGTAAGACTTTTGTATTTGCTCTTTGCATCCAGATAACACGGATCGTAGCTGGAAGATACGACCCATAATGTTGGCTATAATGCAGATTTGTTGCTTGGTCCAGAAAGGTCATGAATGTCGCTGGAGCCAGCGGGCCTAGCGAGTCCTTAGCAGAGCTCCACTGTGAGCTGGGAGACATACAGACGGGGCGGGTGCACCGGTTTCCCTTTAAGAAATGCAGTTGACATCATTGCTTTTCTTCACTGGGTTCTCCTCTTGCTCGCACTTTCCAGCACACTTTTATCGTAATGATTGTTGGAAACTTTTTTAAAATTTATTTATTTATTTATTTGACAGAGAGAAACACAGAGAGGGAACACAAGCTGAGGGAGTGGGAGAGGGAGAAGCAGGCCTCCTGCTGAGCAGGGAGCCTGACGCAGGCCACAGTCCCAGGACTCCGGGATCACCACCCGAGCCAAAAGCAGACATCCAATGATTGAGACACTCAGGTGCCCAGAAAATTTATTTTACATTTAAAATCTTTAATTCAGTTCTAAAAGCTTCTGAGGGGGAAATATATTTTCAAAATCATTACTTTTTTGAAATGAAGATTAAAAAACTTGTTTCTGGGGCACCTGGGTAGCTCAGCTGGTGAAGCGGCTGCCTTCGGCTCAGGCCCTGATCCCGGGCTCCTGGGATGCAGTCTGGCATTGGGCTCCCCGCTCAGCAGGAAGCCTGCTTCTCCCTCTCCCTCTGCCCTCCCTTCCCCACTCCTGTTCTTGCTCTGTCTCTCAAATAAACAAATAACATGTTAAAAAAAAAAAAGCCCATTTGCTTCTGGAAGGTTTGTTTACCAGTTTCCATAAAGTTCATCTGTGGGGGCACCTGGATTGCCTCAGTGGGTTAAGCCTCTGCCTTCAGCTCAGGTCATGATCTCAGGGTCCTGGGATCGAGCCCCACATTGGGCTCTCTGCTCAACAGGGAGCCTGCTTCCCCCTCTCTCTCTGCCTACTTGTGATCTCTCTCTGTCAAATAAATAAATAAATAAAATCTTAAAAAAAAAAAAAGCTCACCTGTGAAGCCCTGAACATAAGTACTTTCAGGTACTTATTATTCTCTCACAGCTTTGAGTTTGGTAAATTAGGGAAATTGCCTTTCTTTGATAAATTCAAATCTGGATACTGCAGCCATGCAAAGGGAATTTTATCTAAATTGTGCTAAAATCAGTGTCTTGAGATAATGTTCACTTAATAGGAAAAACTATTAGCATTACTCTATCAGATGCTGCTTTGGAAATAGCTTTAGTGCAATTGATAATTACTGGATTATGAGCTATAATAAATTTAGTATTGAGCCAAGAAGATAGTAATTTTTTCCCCTACCTTTGCTGTTTGAAATAACAGTTGAATTTTCAAAAAGTAAAGAAAAAGCAAGATCATGTGTTATAAACTGTAAGATGCAGTGGTATTCATAAATAACCTTCTTATTGATAAATACACTTTTTTAACAGTCCAGCAATGCTCATCCAGCCTGCACAAAGAAATCCGTCCTCTGACGGAGTCTGGCAATGATGTAAGGGGACAGCCTTTGTGGCCTGTGTCCCTTTGGCTTAGAGATGAAAGGAGAGGAAAGCAATCCAACTTAAGCTTTTGAGCTTTGCGTAGAATGATGATAATATTTTTCCTCCAAAGTGTCTTGTGACATTGCAAGTTCTGTATCAGTGAGAACCAGCTGCTTCTCTTCAGATTTTGCTCTATTTTAGTGCCCCTGGATAGCCCTGTCCCCTCTGCCCCTTGTTACTGCCCCACTCACTGCACCCTTGTGCATGTTAAGGATCACATGTGGTTTTAAAGTGACAGCTATCCAGGAAGCCCTCTGATTCTGTGTCATCTCCCCCTCCACCCCCATTCCTGCTATTTCCAAAGCAGCCCTAGTGAGCCACACCTGCTCATATTCCATTCTTGTATAATCCCTTCCCCCAAATCTAGGCTGGCCCGATGTGATGACTTGTTCTTGACTTGCATTGTGTGGCAGGGACGACTCTGTGTTACTTGGAAGGTTACTGAGGAGAACCATCCAGCATCTACGGGGACCACTTGCAATGTGAGCTCTGGGGGAAGCCAGTGCTATGCAAACAGTCTGATCGCTTGGGACCACCATGTTATGAGGAAGCCCAAGCTAATCCCGTGGACAGAGATGCCCAACCAGCAACCAGCTGTTCCAGTCATCCCGGAGAAAGAGCCGGACATGTGAGTGATGGATCCATCTGGAATATTCCACCCTGTCAGGCATTCAGATGAAGCCTGAGCTGCCATCTGAGAGCAGCCATGAGACTCCAGGAGAGAGCAACCACCCACACCCAGCCAACCTACATACCCATGAAGGATAGTAACTTTCCCTCTGAATCAGTAAGCTTTGTTACACTTTGTTACATGGCAACAGATCACTGCAGGACGCCCGGGTACAGGACAGGATGGCCCTGAAGGGAGCTTTCTGTGTCTCTCTCTGGTCAGTCTCCTCAGCTGAAGTGTGAGAACATGCAAGACTTTCTTCTTTTCACGTGACATTTAGTTCTACGGATGGTCCTGAGGACCAAGTCATTCCATTCAGGGTCATGATTGTTGGAGGATTTTGAAAACTCTAGAAACCATGCTCTAGAAAACACTCGGACCCCTCCCTTATTCCTCCTCTGGATGTGCGACAGTGTACCTCCTGGACATCAGATCACCCACTGGATGTGCCCAGTGCAGGGCTACGGAGCCTGCTGGGTGTGCCCAGGGCAGGGCTGGGGAGGAACTTTGGCAGCTACATGCATCCAAGGCAGATCAACTTAAAGACAGAGGCAGTGTGAGAAAGGGGCTGAGAATCAGGGCGGGTTGGGTGGGGTCCACACCCTTGGCCTCTCTCATCTCTTGGCACCAGCTCTCCCCAAGGTCTTTTCCTAAGATCTGACCCTCTCATTGCCATTTTCATTTTTTCAAGGTATGTTAATTTCCATCTCCATCCTGAGAAAGATGTTGAAGAACCCCCTCCCCCCCAAGTTCAATGAGACAAGATTGGAATGTTTCAAAAGGAACATTTACTAGGAAACTAAAGGGAAACCAAACAGAATGCAAGAGAACAGAGGCAGATTTGCAGATGGGCTCAGGGAGTTCAAATTCAAAAACAGCCTTTGGCCACAGCTGGACTGGCTAGGCAAAGCTTTCTAGACACAAAGCCACCTGCCTGCCATGTAAACAGGCTTCTTTGCCTGCTGCCCCTACAAAGCCACCTTCCGTTTTGTACCAACAAGCCAGTAACATGCTCAGTAGTATCCAGGGCTGCTAGCTCTCTGGGCAGGAAGATCTTTGGGGGGGTGGGTGGGGGGAACAATAGGCACAGCTGCCCCGGGACCTCCTACCCAGGCTCTCAGTACCAAGGACATGTCAAAGTTTATTGGAATGGCTGCCTGATATCTCTCGGGGCCAGTCTGGTTTCTCGGGGACCATTCTTCTGGGTTCATCTGCCTGGCTCTAGAGACAGTATTTCTACTGGCTGTCCTGCTGGCACAAGTCCGTCACGCTTTGGTTCGAAGGTGCAGGATGTGTGATGGGGAGGAAGAGGCAGGGTAGAACTCTGGGCAAGGAAAGATGAGTTCTTTTCATATGGTCAGATGTAGGCAGAACCTTGGCTTCTCTTTGGATACCAGTGGTAGAAAGCCAATCAGAGATGAAAATGCACTAGGCAGGCTGGGGAACGCGGGAAGCTGGAGTGTGGTTAACACTGCCTCACACAACCAAAGGCCCCTTTCCTTTTTAGATGTGAGATCAGTGTCGAGTGTCTTTCACCAGGCAGCTGTGGCACTAAGAACTTTCTGAAGACAGGCAATGATCCTGCTTCCACCCAGGTAGTCCCACAATGAAATGTTAATTCAAATGAAGACAATGAGCTTCCTAGGTTGTTATCTTGGAGAAGTGGTGCAATGTGTGGTTGGGGTACCTTGCACCCATAATGGGAGAGAGAGGACCACTAGGTCACAGCCACCCCTCTTCCCCTGCCCCAAGGTACGCTAAGGCCTTTGGTTTCATTTGTATGGAGGCAGAAGCAATGAGGATGAGGAGCAGAGCTGGCAGTGGGCTGGCTGATGTGGTCACAGAGGAAGCTGAGTAATGAATGAGATACCCGGGGAGAGCCCTTGACCTTCACTCTTGTAGGTATTTCCGTTCCCCAAGTGCTGTGAAAGTGATATGTGTCTGGAGGTGAAAGGAAGCCTATCTTGGCTGCCCAGGGCTAATGCCTCCGGGCTGCTGCATATGGAAATACCCCAGAGAGCACAGAGGCCAAGAAGGCCCAAAAGCTGTGCCTTCCTCAGGGGGAGGGTTGTGTTACCTCTCCGTCAACTTATACAACAGTACACCTGTTCCTGCGGCTGTTCCCCCCAAGGACAACCATGCCCGGGAAAGGTATTCCAGAACGCTTATGCCCTTGAGTCACGGGCCTCTCTAACAGAGACAGCAGGTAACTTTCATTTTAACGTTGACAGCAGTTGCTGGGAAGTGGCTGCTGACCATCTAGAAAACACTGCCCGGGATTCTGACTCCTCAGAATGTGGGTTTAGCACAAGAGAGGATTACGGTCAACTGGTACTCTCTGCCATGTGCATGGGAGGGGGCAGTGAACTTGCTGTGAATCAGCCCTCCTTGCACTAGATTTTTTCCGGGGGAACAGCCTGCTTCTCCTCTTACTCTCCTGGGGCTATTCCTTGCAAAGCTGGAGCACTTCTTGGGGTAAAATTATTTTCTGAAGACAGTTACTAGCTCAAATGTAGTCCAGGGTGAATTAGATCTGCTGCCTGTTTAGCACCTGGATATATGTTTACATATTCGGTCCTTCCAGGGCATTCAAGCAAATGACATCGTGTCAGACTGACGCTGCCAGGGCGGTGCTGTGACCCCATCACCAAGGGCCTCATGTTAGTCACTAAGAGTCCTAGCGCTCTAGGGTACTCTTAGTTTTCCCACTACATCACGTGGTTTCTTCCGTAGTCCAACCTTGGTTCTTGGCCATGACAGTCATGCTCCCCCTGTAGCACACCACCTTAGGCCACTGGAAGATGGCCAGACCATTCACATTCACCAAACCTAATCCAGAAAGAGGGCCAGTTATTGCTGTGGTTACAGCTCAGCATTTGGTCACTGGAGTCGTCTGGGTGTTGTTGGATGGGAAAAGTTACTTAAGATCTTTGTAAGGTGGGTGTCCCACTGTGTCCTTGGCGCAAAGAATCCTCTTACCAATAGTCATCGTTTCTGTAGGAAGAAGAAACAAAAAGAATGCTTTGGTTTTCATCCATATATATATTTTTATTTTTTAAATTGAAGTATAATTAACATATAGGGTTATATTACTTTTAGGTGTACAACATATTGATTCACAATTCTATGCGTTACTCCATGCTCACCAGGATGCATTATTTTACTATTATGGACTATATTCCTTTTGCTGTACTTTTCATCTCCATGACTTCTTTATTTTATAGCTGGAAGTTTGTATCTCATAGTCCCCTTTATCTGTTTCACCCATTTCCCTACTACCTTCCCCTCTGGCAACCACCAATTTGTCCTCTGTATTTAAGAGTCTTTTTTTCACTTGTTTATTCATGTGTTCTGTTTTTTAAGATTCCATATATAAGTAAAATCATATGGTATTTGTTTTTCTATGTCTAACTTAATTTCACTTTGCTTTGCTTTCTAGGTCCTCCACATTGTCATAAGTGGCAAGCTCTGACTCTTTTTGATGGCTGAATAGTATTCTAGTGTGTGTGAGTGTGTGTTTGTGTGTGTGTGTGTGTGTGTGTGTGTGTACAAACTTGAGCTGTTTCCATACTTGAGCTGCTTCCATATCTTGGCTATTGTAAATAATGCTGCAATAAGCATAGGGAGGCATATATCTTTTCAAATTAGTGTTTTCATTTTTCTTTAGAATTCTGGAATTTTCTTTGGAGTTTAGTGAAATTACTGAATCATATGGTATTTCTATCTTTAATTTTTTGAGGAACCAGCCTACTGTTTTTCAGAGTGGCTGCACCAGCTTGCATTCCCACCAACAGTGCACGAGGCTCCCTTTTCCTCCACGTCCTCACCAACACTTGTTATTCCTTGTGTTTTTGATTCTAGCCATTCTGACAGGCATCAAGTGTTATTTCCTTATGGTTTTGTTGGGATTTTCCTCATGATGAGTGATGTTGAGCATCCCTTCATGTGCCTGTTGGGCAGCTGTATGTCTTCTTTGGAAAAATGCCTATTCAGGTCCTCTGCTCACTTTGTAATAGGATTATTTGCAGGGGTTTTTTGGTGCTGAGTTATAGAAGTTCTCTCCATATTTTGTATATTAACCTATTTTTGGACATATCATTTGTAAATATCTTCTGCCACTCCGTAGGTTGCCTTTTGTTTTGTTGATGGTTCGAAAACTTTTTACTTTGGTGTAGTTTCAATGTTTATTTTTGCTTTTATTTCCCTTGCCTGAGGAGACAAATCTAGAAAAATGTTGCTAAAGCCAATGTCAAAGAAATTACTGCCTATGTTTTCATCTCAAAGTTTTATGGTTTCAGGTCTCACATTTAGGTCTTTAATCCATTTTGAATTTATTTTGGTGTATGATGTAAGAAAGTGGTCCAGGTTCACTCTTTTGCATGTAGCTGTCCAGTTTTCCCAGCATTCATTTACTGAAGTGACTGTCCTTTTGCCCATTGTCTATTCTTGCCTCCTTTGTCATAGATTAAGTGACCATATGAGCATGGGTTTATTTCTGGGCTTTCTATTCTGTTCCATTGAACCATGTGTCTATTTTTGTGTCAGTACCATACCATTTGGGGCTTGGAGAGAACATACGTCCACATAATAAAGGCCATATCTGACACACTCAGAGCTAACGTGATACTCAGTGGTGAAAACCAGAGAGCTTTTCCTTTTAGATCAGAAAGAAGAATGTCCACTCTCCCACTTTAACTGAACATAATAAGAAAGTCCTAGCTGTAGCAATCAGACAAAAAAGATATAAAAGGGGGCCCCTGGGTGGCTCAGTCAGCTTATTGTCTACCTTCAGCTCGGGTCATGATCCCAGGGTCCCGGGATCCAGCCCCACATCGAGCTCTGTGCCCAGCAGGGAGCCTACTTCTCCCTCTTCCACTCCCCCTGCTTGTGCTCTCTCTCTCTCTAATAAATAAATAAATAAAATCTTAAAAAAAAAGATATAAAAGGAATCCAAATTTGTAAGAAAGAAGTAAAACTTTCACTATTTGCAGATGACAGATCATATACAGAAAACCCAAAAACTCCACCAAAGAAACTATTAGAACTGATACATGATTTCAGTCATGTTGTAAGATACAAAATTAATATACACAAATCTGCTGCATTTCTATACACTAATAACAAAGTAGCAGAAAGGGAAATTAGGAAACACTCCCCTTACAATTACGCCAAAAAGAATAAAAGATCCAGCAATGAACATGACCAAGGAAGTCAAAACCTGCACTCTGAAAACGAAAGCACTGATGAAAGAAACTGAAGACAACACAAACAAATGGAAAGATATCCCAGTGCTCGTGGGCTGGAAGAATTAATATTGTTAAAATGTCCATACCATCCAAAGCCATCTACAGATTCAGTGCAATCCCGATCAAAATGCCAGTAACATTTTTCACAGAATTAGAACGAGTCATATTAAAGTGTGTGGGAAACCACAGAAGACCCCAAATAGCTAAAGCATCTTGAAAAAGAAGAACAAAGCTGGAGGCATCAGAATTTCAGGTTTCAAGATATACTGTAAAGCTGTAGTAATCATGCATATATTTTCAATGTGTAAGCTAACAAGTGCCAGCCACTGTGATAGATGCTGGGGACACAGTGTCCCCGAGATGCTGGAGATGCCACGTGTAAGACACATACCCCCACTTTTTTCAACGGGCTTACCGGGGGAGAAGTTACAAGGTGAGAAGCTGAGTAACAGAGGCGTGCAGAGAACGCGCAGGAGCAAAGAAGGAAGAGAGTTTGAGGAGGTCCATAGAGAGGACTCTGAAAGGTAAGTCAAGCTGGGCCACTTAGGCTGAAGGGGAGTCCATCAGGAGAGAAGAAGGGAAGGCCATTTGGGGTAGAGGAAAGAGCCTGCACAAAGGTACAAAGGCAGGCGAGGTGTATGGCTCACTAGAGGAACAGGCAGGCTTGGGGATGAGGAGTAGAGGGGGAGGACACAAGGTTGGGGAGCGGAGAGGGGGTATCTGTGGGGCGCAACCCCCATTCCTGGTTTCTAAGCTGTGAGGATGGGCTCTTCCAGTGGAGCCCAGCATTAGAGCAGCTGGATCTCTCCTGTTTCACACTCAGTGCAGCAACCATTTAATTTCAACTCAGGGCACGTTCCAGTACAGACTAAGGGTATTAATGCTGCCAGCCCAGAGAGAAAACCAGAGTCACTGCCAAGGACACAGCAATAACCAAATAGATATATATTAACCATGGAAAAGCTACAAACATTTTGGAACTGGAATATGTGGACTGCATTTCATGGATCAAATGCTCGCACATGAGGCTGCAACTTAGAGTGAGTAACGAAAGCCAGAGCGGACACTGCAGATTGACAGCCATACCTGACTATACTCCTCGACTCAGAAGTATGCCCCTGGCTGTTGGAAGGGGAATGTTCGAGTCTAGAAGGAAAATGTGAATGGATATTTGTCTTCTATTGGGATTCGAAATGACATTCCCAGGCCAGCTAATGTTCTGGAGCACCCTCGGAATGGCCCTCCTTCCCAGCCACCCACCCACATCTGGCAGGATCTTCCCAGAGCCCCTTCTCTCAGTGGTGAGACCCCTATCTGCAGGCCCAGCTTGTCAGTCCCTCAGTCCTTCTTGTCTGGGAAGGCAAAATGTCCACAGGCTTAGCCCCACCAAAGAGTTTGTTGTGCTGCTATTATTCCTTCAGTGTCTGAGTTCCTATCATGTGCCAGGCAGCAGGATATGAACTTTACAAATCCTTAAAAGGGCCTCACAGAGAACCTATGAGGTTTTTTACTGGAGGACACAAAGATACAGGAAGATTAATTTGCCCAAAGTCACACTGTTACTAAGTGTCAGAGCTGGGATTTGAACTCAAGACTTCTAACTTCAAAGTCTATGCTTCAGAAATTACATCAATTCTAAATTCAGTCTGTAAGTCCCGTCTGTACATTTGAGCTTCTGCCTTGGTTTTCTAGGTACTCTGAATCAGATGAAACAACATTAAGCAACGCTATTCTGAGCCAGTAACATGCAGCAAGTGCCACAGCCCTCTTATGGCTTACAACTTAATTATTCTGTTTCTCCGGATTGCACCAGCTAGTGACCTGCATATGTACCTAATTTGCACCCTCAGTTCTACACACGATGTCAGTCTTCCCTGTTCTAACCTTAGTTTCTTCTTTCCATTTGAGCAGATCCTTCCCACTGCTTTGGGTAGGGCTTTCCCCAAATTCCCAGCCTTAGGAGACCACCTCTGAACCTGATGTGTTCTGGCCTTATCTGAAGCCTGCTTAGATGGCTGGGCTGTTACTCTAGCCAATGTTTTACCAGTCTCCATACCCAGGGCTACCATTAGCAGAGACCATGCTGCCAGGGGCCAAATTATAGTATAGCTCGGATTTGACCTCCATAGCTAGGTTTTGCTCACCTGGTGAGTTTCCTTGTACATGCAGTTAGCTGGAATCAAACTCAGTTCCTGGGAATGGTGTGGAGGGGCCTCTTCTCTTTTTCTTCAGCTGGGTCTCCCTCTTCTTTAGCTGGGTTTATTTTCTGGGCTCTGATCCTGGCTGGTCCCAGTATCCTTTGTGTTCCTACTCTAGACAGTGACACCAGGACTCTAGAATATTTTTGCCAGCCCACAAGAGGATAAGACAAAGGAGTTTCAAGGTCTGGTGGAAGGGTAGGGTCATCTCTATCAGGGGTCTTGCAAGAGAAGCTTCTTGGAAATGAACTTCTCCTAGGGCATGTCAGATATACAATTCAGGTGTGAAAAAAAGTAGTTGTTACAGGAGATGGGCAATTTTGAGTGTGGCATGGGTGAAGTATGCTGGGGCCCAACCCCTTCTGTCTGACTTCTGCTGGGGGAAATACTGGAAAAACCCAAACAAAACAAACAAACAAACAAACAAATAAAAATAAGCAAATTATAACACCTTTCCAAACTCTTATAACTGAATGGGCTGTTTCTCAGCCAAGATTCCTATAAACTGAGGTATAAGGAAAGATTTTCTAGAGTTCAGAAGAGCACTGAC